ATAGTAGCCAATGTGGCCCTCCGTCAGCCGCGTCTTGACGGCAGCATCTTCCGTCAGCGCGCCAGGGCTGCTTGGATCAAGCTGGCGACGGACGAGCAGGAACAAGCGGCAGATCCACAACAGAGCTGCCAGCGTTGGCGTCCAGTTGTTTGGCTGCTTGAAGGTGTCGTTGGCTTGCAGCGCCGTACAAAGGATATAGACGGTGGGACAGTACTCCAGGTCCAAGCTGTTCATGTCCGTGCTTTCATCAAGTACGGCACACCATACATTGGTCAGCGCCTCGGACAGCGTCATGACATGGTTGTTTTGACCTTGGGCCACTTCCACGTCGTCCAAAGCTTTTGCCAGCTCGTCACTGATTCGACCCGGAACCTCGTCGCCCTGGCGCCGTACTTGTAGGAGGTACTGCACGTAGCGCGTAGCCACAATCATGTAGCGATCGTAGGTGTGCTGCATGACTTTTTGATAATATCGGGCCGTAAACACGTCTCCCGACTTGGTGTACAGTTTCCCAAGGACCTCACGAGCCGTCGTGTAGCACAACATGTTTTCGTACGTCTTGTCCAAAAGACCGTGCATGACTGAGAGTAGGGTCGGGTTGACCTCGCTGCAACCCAGCTCTCTGACTTGGCTCAGTGACAACCGGTCAAGCAGCACCCCAAGGCCCAGAATCTGATAAACCGGATGGAGTCGTATCGAGTTGACGACAAAGTCCTTTTTTTTCTGAGCCTCGAGCAAAGATAGGAAGGATTGCGCGTCCACACGGCGTCTCTTGGATCGCTTCGAATACTGGACCTCCACATAGCTCGAGCCCAATCCTCCTTTCCTGAGCCGCTGCATCCAGACTTTTCGTGGCGTCTCCGTGATGGCTGGATCGCCCTTATGGCATTGTTCATGTCGCTCCAGGCTTTCAAGTGTTGAAAAGCAAGAGGCACAGCAAGGACATCTGTAGCCCCGTTGTACTGGGATGCATGGGTACGCAGGTCGGCAGCCGTTCATGTCGAGAACAGGCTCCTTTCGAGGCGTCGCCTCCTTGATGAGATCCATTGCAAGCGAGATGTCTGCATCTTGTACGTTTACGCAGTGGCGCTTCAGGTGCTGGGCTGGGTTTTCGTTCAATGCGTGCCCGCACTTGCCGCAAATTAGTATCCACTCGTACTCATCTAGAACCAGGCCCAGCGATTCCAGGTACATCTGAGCGTGTGATGTATTGGCGTTTACGCTCAGGGACACTTGACGATGAGGATGTCGGCGTTTTGGCGCTCTCAAGTCCGATCTCGGAGCATTGATAGTGTCCGCAGCAGAGCGGTCCAAGAGCATGCCATCGAGCTCGGTAGAGATTTTCTCCGTCACAGCCTCGTGCTTTGCTTTGATGTGCCGTCTTATGCCCTCAGCCTTGGGGTAGTGCTTGTTGCAGCCGCAAACCGGACACCAAAAATAGCCATCAAGTGCCCGTTTCAAAAGAAAGCTTTTTTGACCGATGGTGATCCGTGCCTCTTGCTGATGCCGCTACAAGTCGGTTTTAAAGCGATGTGAGCCTGTGACAGATTGGATTCGAAAGCCCAGCAGCACGCGAGGTGTACCTTGCGCTGATGATGCGCTTGCTCCTTCTGCGTCGTAAAGGTTTGAGCGCAAAATCGACATGTGTGGGTCGACTGCGCCACGCCCTGAATGTCCGACGAAGCATCCATGTTGTGCCACCCGATGCGGCGTGTTTCTGTCAATCAAAGCACAAGGTCAACGAATGATCAGGCTGGTCGGCCAGATGCTAAGTGGTGAGGCTGGAAGGTGGGAAGGAAGCGGAGGCTGTTTGTCATCAGCGGACGTACATTGATGACTTTTGGCAGACGATGTGTGGCCGTCGCCGGTGTGGGCATTCACTATCCCAGCCAATCGGAAGGCGTGGCAGACTGGTATCCTCGTGCTCAGGCACACTTTGCACGGACTTGTACTGATGGTCTCTTCTCGACTAACCACGGCACCAACAGCGATTGCTTTGTTGGCCAGCTGATCAGAAAAAAAAACACACAGGCGATCACACACACACACACACACACACACAAACAACACACACACACACACACACACACACACACACACACACACACACACACACACACACACACACACACACACAAACACGCACACGCACACGCACACACACACAAACACAACACACACACACACACACACAAAAACAACACACACACACACACAAAAACAACAATTTTTCAAATGTCATCACGTTTGGATACTGTACAGTTCTTCTATTTCCCGAAGTTTTGCTACAAAAAGTCAATCTTCCTTTACTCGGACTTGTTCTACATTATGTACAAAACATGGGCCCTATAACTATGCTGCCAAAGATCAAAAACATGCATTAAGTTATATGTCAGATGCAATTAAAAGGTCCACTTTCTCACGACATGATAATGCCAGGCCTGCTTGCGCATCGCTTATGATCAGCCAGGATGCTGTAATCGCTGTCAAGCGGGCCAACGCCTGCAAAGATCCGTGCATTCTCTGTGTGTAACGCTAAAACATCAAGGAATAGGTGCCAAGCACCCAAACAGTACATGACCGCTGCAGCTATGCAAGCGAGGCACTCATTCCTCCACCACGGCCTGTGCCACCTATCATCGAAAAACAGCATCATCACAGCCGAGCCAGCCAGAAAAGAGAAGCATCACCTGAGATGAGCCAAAACGTCTTTGACTGCCCGTCGCTCGTTTTGACCAGAAGAAGATTGTGTCAGGAAAAGGCCCAAAAGATGTGTCCGCAGTGAGATACTGGACCTGAGCAACATGGCCTACCTCAAGGCACTTGTGCTTCACACCTGTCGTTGTGACGCCTTGTCTGTGTCAATGTTGACATGTGCGCATCTATTTTACCTGGCATCATGCATGATCAGGTATCTTACTAGCCAAGCACCTCACGACACCATCCGAGCAATTACCGGCTTGCAAGTTTTACCGGGCTCAAACGGCAGCGCCTACCTCATAAAGACACCCAATGTCCATCATGTCGCGCACAAAGTGGCGCAAATGTGTCCTTGATGTCATGTGCGCGTCTACTATTTTTGGGATTGCCCATATCCAAGCGTCTCGTCAATCAAGCACCTCACAAAGTCTCAACGAGCATGCCCAGGCGCGGCGGGCTCAAACGGCAGCGCCTACCTCATAAAGACACCCAATGTCCATCATGTCGCGCACAAGGCGGCGCAAATGTGTCCTTGATGTCATGTGCGCGTCTACTATTTTTGGGATTGCCCATATCCAAGCGTCTCGTCAATCAAGCACCTCACAAAGTCTCAACGAGCATGCCCAGGCGCGGCGGGCTCAAACGGCAGCGCCTACCTCATAAAGACACCCAATGTCCATCATGTCGCGCACAAGGCGGCGCAAATGTGTCCTTGATGTCATGTGCGCGTCTACCATTTTTTGAGATCATCCATATCCAAGTGCCTAGTTAGTTAAGCATCCTTGAGCATGACCAAGGCTTGGAGCGGCACGGGATTGTGCATCAGACTCAAAAGGCAGCGCCTACCTCAGATTCACACCTGATGCACCTGAAACCATGCGGCAGATGGCGTATATGTGTCTATCCTACACATATTTACGTTTGGTGAGCCTGTGACTATTCATATTCAAGTTTCACGTCATTCCACCACCCTCGAGCCTAGCCAGGCCTTGACATGGCACGCAAACCAAATCCAAGAACAAATGGGAGTACCTACCGCCAACAGGCATTGGGTGTATATCGAACAACTTCACAAGCACAGTGTGTACAGTGACATCACCACACAACATTTTGAACGGCTTCAGTCCGATCTTGCTCGCGCTTTGCCCTGACCAAGCACCAGCATGAGGTCGTGACCACAACATCAAGGACAGCCAGTATCAGCGGTGAACACGACAGTGCCTACCTGACTGTGGCTTGAATCCGGGTAATCGTCACGGTTCATTCATTTCGCATGTCTGATTGTTCATGTACAACATTCTTGAAAACGTCCAATTGTCCCTTGTCTCACTGTCGCCGTGGGGCGCGAGGTCAGCATATCTGAGCTCGAGAGGCTTAATCTTCCGAGTAGGGGCGAATCAAATGGCAGCGCACACATCTATGTCAGCTGATGGCAATATGATGGCGGCATATACTGTCGCTGTTCACAAGCAAACGCAACTGGACGGGCCTGCCAGTTGCCGCATGGATGCGGCCGATGCATGGATGCGGCCCTGGCATCCCGTCAAAGGTGTCAGTCAACATTGCATTCAAATGGGATCGAACAACGGTCGACAGTCTCACAAACATTCTCGCGATGCCGCACTCACCGTCAGCCCAGATCACAATCTGCTCAAACGAGCTCGCACGTCGTTTGCTGGGGTCTGCATCAGCAGGTCTGAGGGTTTTGGGAACGGGCGAGGGGGGAGGCTGATTTAGCTTCAGGTGTCATGAGCGAGTGGGCCGGGCGCGAGGTATTGCTTGACATGAATCATAGCAGCCTCGACAAACCTGTTGGCATCAAATCATGTCACTGTGCCCCATCTTGTTCTTGACACGTCTCGGACATGTCCTAAGAGGGTCAAGCAGCCCTGGTGCTCCGAGCCTGTCACACCGTGCCGTGCCGTGCGCCTGGGTAAGCTTGTTTTTCAACATTGGCACCTGTCGGTGATGAATAGCGCAGACCAAATTGAATGCCAGTGCTTACCGTTGAATCTTGTTGCCATCATTTTTTCATGAGCACATGCGTAGATGCGACAGTGCGCAGCGTTCTCTCGTCCAGCTGGCTCAACTGCTTTTGGTCGTCGCAGGCGATGCAAAAATGCCAAAAGGTGATTAACAAATTTTTGTTAAATTTTGAACGAATGCACAGGCCACAACAACAAGAAGAACAACACGTCGAGTTTGCGAGTATGAACTTTGTCAGATGTTCCTGTTTTGAAATTGTCAGAAATTATTTTCTTGTAAAATTTACATCCAATGTTAAAAATTTTAATCCTTTGTTCTCCTCGATGCTGTTGTCTGACAAACGTTACTTATGAAAGCCTTCTTGAGTACACTTGCACCCATTATGCACACAATGGCCCCCGAAGCGTACATGATGTCTTTTACAAGAAGGCTAGTCCAAATGAAATATTCTTACACTAGCTCCTCTCCACCTCACCTTCATTTCTCTCCCACTTCCCTCCCTCTCCCTTCTCTTTCACCCCCATCT